TCATGTTTTCTCTTTCAAGCAGTATTTCCGTAATCGCCAAAATCCTCACATTTTATTGCTGATATCAAGTTCAATATTTCAGTGAAGAAATTTCATAGCTAAAAATTCACGATTCTGCTCAGTCGCAACTGCTACACTTCGGTCCGTTTTCGTGACCTCTTCCTTCCTTCATCGCTTCTTTTTTTGGCGTGCTATGCTGAACTGTGCCATACAACATCCTTCTTCAATGCGGAAATAATACTTATTTTTGCCCGTAGGATACGCTGTTTCCCTCAGTGAAGGATGAGATACAGCCGACTTCCTGTTTCATTTCCATGACAGTTTGTCCCTGTTTTGTACATTTCTAAACCAGATATTACCAACAAATACACTTTGCTTCCGCTGCCGTTACCGGTCCTCTTACCAGTGCTGCAGCTGCAAGCATACCTCTCTCGATTCTTCTCTCTTTGTATATGCTTTGCACCCAAATCGTCAGAGTGTGAGACTTGAGCATAAATACAATGTGAGCATGGAACAGCCAGTAACTGCTCTTGAAGGTTTTATGAAAATCTAGCCTAAGAAGTACACCCGGTCGCAACGAATGCGACAGGCTGGTTAACAATGGCCATAGTTTTTGCTGAGAATAAAATCAGCTCCGCCAGTAGTCATCACCTCCAGCACTGAACAAATCGTTTTTGGTCCCTCCAGACCAAGATGTGCCCGGTCTCCTCCGCTTGATACCCGCTCCGAATGCCGCAAGACGTTGTACCAATTCCCCGCAAACAGTTCACGAGTTCATCTCTTAATGTTCGGTCCAACGCCCTGGGCCGATAAGTCCAGTTTGTTCCCTGGTGGTGCCGTTTATTCATCTGAGATTCTTAACTGTCTCTCATCTTCCTGTTGCAACTTTTCGGTTATGAATTAGGACGAAGGACATTTGTTCTTTCCACATTTTTCAGCTTCATATTTGCCGGAGGGTTTGGGCATTCTTTTCTCTACTACATACATGTAAATTTTCTTTCTTTGTTGTAGTAGTAGAAATTAATAGTTGCTATTTGAATTGTTGTTGCCCCGTACAACATTATAATAGCAAAAACTGATCAGGGAAATATAGCAGCAGCAGTACAACCATCACATTGAACTGTTTTTGTACGCAGTTTCGATATCAAGCTTGCATCTCCAGATCATCTACATAATAATTCATTTTTGGTTGTCTCCTTTTTCACCTCTATTGATGAGGTCAGTGGCGCACGTTCTAAAATAGCATGTTGTAAATTACAGAATGTTAGATAGCGCGTTCCCAACTATGTTCCCTATGCTTTTTTCTCGCTGATCTTTGCCGATATTTGCTGTGAAAGAGTTATGTAGAAGCGTGTGTTCATGACCATACTCTGATATTCGCTTTATCACTGTTTTGCTCGACTACTAGAATACATCTCTTCTGTTTTTGCATGCGTTAAAACAATTCAGTGAGGCAGCTGTGCGGAACAAGTCGCGAAAGACGCCGTTTTGGAGAGATTCCCCGGCATCAAACAAGGCCCATTCAGCATCGTTTTCAACTTTTTTCGCTCAATACATGTCTGCCTCGGCTTTTTTTGTACTGCAGCGGGTAATTCTGCAAAAATTTCACCACAAAGTATATCCGAAAAGACAGGGAAACATACCGCAGATCCTATTAAATTCGTGATAGCTGCCACAGTGCTGACACACTACCAGATTTTTCTTCAGCTGCAACAGTCGATGACAATCGAATTTCCTGGTCACTTTTTTCGCTGAAACAACAAGCTGTCGGTACGGAAGTGCAATGTCCAAAAGAATAAAAATACTGTTGCTTTTCGCCCATTTATCGGTGAAATTTTTATGCGTTTTTTTGCAGCTATGCAATGCAGAAAACGCATATTGACGAGAGGTTGTCTGTGTGTATGTGTGTCTGTGTGTGTTTGTGGGTGTGTGTCTGTGTGTGCGCAGGACCGCTGTGCCGATTTTTCATCTCCAGACCTACAAAAGCTACGGGGTTGAAAGTTTGGGGACTTAATCTACGTGCACGCACAGGCCCCCATCCCCAAAATGGGCGGTCTTCCCCACGTAAGAGCCCGCCAAAATTTTTTTACGAGTGAGCTGCTAACACGCGAACCCGAAAAGCTAGAATGCTGAAATTCTAAAGGAATGTTCCCCGTCCAAGTATATACTAATGAGCTCAAACCCAACCCCCGGGTAAGTATGGTACCCTCGTACGGGTCCGCCAAAGTCTTTCCCGGGTAAGTTCATAACTCGGGGATCTGAGACGGTAAGAGACTGTAAAATTGAGAGTGTTTTCCGTCCAAATTAGTCTCAACGAGCTCAAACCCAGCCCTCAGTCATGCGTGGTACCTACGCATGGGTTCACCAAAGTTTTTCTCGGGTAAGTTCATAACTCGAGGACCTGTAAAGCTAAAAGACTGTAGTTTTAGGAAGATGTTCTCAGTCCAAGTAAGTCCCAACGAGCTCAAACCCAGACAATTGGTATGCGTGATACTCACGCACGGGTCCGTGAAAGTTTCCTTCCAGTAAACTGTTAACTCAGGAGCCAGGAAAGCTAGAAAGCTGAAATTTAAGAGGGTGTTTCCTGCCAGTCTTGGCGGCCAGTCTTAATTTGTTTAGCTAGAAGGATCTGTCGAAAAAACCGATGCCGGTAGCGATAAAAACTGCGGGGAACTATGCAAAAAACACATCTTCGCACGGACAGCCCGTGCGTTGGCTAATTATTTAAAGATGGAATGACAGGTATCTTCGCCAAGAAATGAATGCTGCTATTACTTACCATCGCACGTCCGAATTTTTGGCACACCCAATGCAACACGAAGCCTGTCGATAATATCTTCAACTTGCATCAACCGACCGGAGCTATTGCCGGTTAACGCCAGATCACTGTTCAGCGCAAATGTCGGGCAGAGTCCATCGGCTGGCGGCCAAATCCGACGAAGAAACATGACAATCTGCTGTTTCAGGCGATGCATCCCAGAACCTGCGATTAAAATACCGAGAACTGTCCAAGATGCTTTAAACAATATGCTTCGCCGCAAGTCCTTCTTATGACGTGCCCAAGGCAACTGTTGATTAAAAACACATTTAGGTGCAAAAAATATCGAATATTTGCAGGGCAATTTATACCATGGTGCACTGTGAGGGATCTGCAATACTACCACAACCAACTTTACAATCAATGCGAAATATTTGGGTAGTACTTGAACAGGGAACATTCCCCTAAAAATTTCAGCTTTCTAGCTTTTCTGGTCCCAGAGTTGATAATTTTCCCGCCAAAACTTTCAATGCCCTCCGAACCGATTTGCAGTAATATCATTCACAGTGGTAATAAACCTCTGTGAATACAGTGATTTATGCAATTCGGGACGTCGGAAACGAAATCATCCCTTTTCCAGATCAAATCGCTGTAATAAAACAATGTGATTATGCGTTTTTGCATCTTATGCAAATTTCACCTGGTGCACTTCATGCAAATGGTATGGGTCGTTGTGCCGAAACTACTCCAAGAACTAGCTTTATCCAAGCTACTTTTCGCAGCCACATTAGGTGGTAAGTGGTAATCCTTATCAACAGCACATGGGTAAAGCAGACGTAGTAAATAGTATGGCACTTTTCCAGACTCTCCTTATTGCCCTTCCTATATGTACCTGCCCAAAAAAAAAAAAAATCATTTTTTTTTCGGCCTATTACAACTGAAAAGATAATCAAAGTATAGAACAAAACGATTCCACAAAATTT